TCTGTCTGTCTGTCTGTCTGTCTGTCTGTCTGTCTGTCTGTCTGTCTGTCTGTCTGTCTGTCTGTCTGTCTGTCTGTCTGTCTGTCTGTCTGTCTACTCTCTTCGCTCCCCCCCACTCCCCTCCTTTTCCCCTCTCACCTCATCCATCACCCCTTTTTGGTTCACCGTACCGCTGCCCTTCTTCGCTCTTTACTCTGCCCCGCCCCACCCCGCATCGTATCGCCCCGCATCGCATCGCTTCGCACATCTATAGCATCGCTCGCTCGCTCACTCGAAGCTGAGCCCCAGCGAAATTCATACATCTGCATCCATCCACTCGAGTGATGGACAAATTCTAGACCTCCCTTGCTTCCCTCGTGTTCCTGATCGTCAGCCATCGGGCGAGTCGAGTCGAGTCGAGTCGAGCAGATCAGATCAGATCAGAACAGAGTGAAGTAGACTTCAATGGGGTACGCAAATGAGTCGTATTTGAAAGGACACGAAGAGGGGGGTGAAGGAGTGGGGACGCTGGCGATGAGAAAAGTTACAAGGTCCACATGAAGAGAGGAAGGGAGCCAGAAGGGAGTTAGAGGTAGCGCAGCCCGTCCTTCCCTTCTACAGATGTCCATACAGCCCCACTTCCCTCCCTTTCCCTCTTGTCCCTACATAGCGCTGCCACCCTTCTGACCCATTGGCCCGAGTACACGCGAAACTCACTCCTCGTTAGGGCGTGTGCTTGATGATTCTGTCGCACCTAGAGCAGCGCGGTGGCAGAATCCCGTTGTGTGTGGGTGGGGACGGGTTTCTCTGCTTTCATCATCTTGATCTCCAGTCGGAGACTGCCTTGCGTAGCCCTCCTCTTTGCCTTTCCTTTCCCGACCCCACCTATGAGGGCGCTCTCGAGTCCTTTCCCCGTCAGATGCAGGACAGCCGCTCACTGAGGTGCCTCTACGAGAACTGTGCTCCCCTCGGTCTCATCGCTCTCCACACTTCCATTCCCATCACCATTACCACCACCGCCTGTACTCCTCTGCGTCAGTCCTTCTCTAGCCTGCGTCTCCTGCGTACCCGTAGCCTTGGCCTGACTCGTTTGCTGATCCTGCTGTGTCGCCTCATCGCCGGCACTTCGACGCTGGGCTTCGCTGACCAGATGGTAGTCCTCGGGTCGTTGCCCGCTGCTCCCCTTGGTCTTGAGTCGCTCAGCATCCCGAGCTGCCTTCCTGTCCGTGTCCCTGCCTGAGCCCGTACCAATTAGCTTGCCCATCCACCCCGCGATACCGCCCAGGCCACGCTCCCCTCGCGCGACATTAGAGCCCACACTAAGACTGGCTCCACTAGCGCGCGCAGAACTGCTGCCTACGACGGACGAGGAGGGCTGGTCGGCAGTGGAGCTGACGTCAAATTCTTCCCTCTCGGTGTCCATCTGGATCAGAGCGTCGAGCATCTGCTGCCTGACCTTGTCCGTCAGAGCCGTTGCATCCGCCGCGGTCATCCCCTTGGTCTCTACAGGCGGGAGAACCTTGATGCGGATGGTTCCTGACTCGAAGCGAGTCTTGGAGTCAAACAGACGGTGGTAGTTTTCGCACACGACGGGGACTACGGGGACTTGTGCTTGCAGGGCGAGGTGGAAGGCGCCCTTCTTGAATGGAAGCAAGTCCGGTACGGGCAGCTTGGAACGGGTGCCTTCGGGGAAGACCCAGAGGGAGAGCTTGTCCTTCTTCATAGCTGCTCCGACTTGGTCGAAAGTCTTTACTGCATCGCCACGATTCTTTCTGTCGATGAAGACTGCTCCTGAGAGGTACATCCACTGACCAAGGAGGGGAGCGTACTTGAGCTCCTGCTTGGCCATGATACTGGCGACCTTTGGGAAGATTCTGCCGAGGTAGAGGATGTCCATACTGCTCTGGTGGTTGCCGACGAGTACAGATGGCCTAGCCTTTTCGAAGTTCTCCTCTCCTTCTACGGTGAACCTGACACCTGTGAGCGTGCCAGCGATGAGGTAAAAGCATCGTGCGACGAGGAAATTATTGTTGAGTCTCTGGCTGGGGATGAAGTTCATCACAATGGAGGTGACCAGTCCGATCATGGAGCAGATCCCCAGCGAGGACACGTACACGACGATGTTGAGGTACATGCGAGCCCTCTGGGAGCGGGGCGATGCCAGTGCCAGGAGGGCAAAGGCACCTGCGGCGGCATAGGAGAGCGTCTTTGTGATCATGGCTATGGTGTGGAAGAAGGAGAAGAGAACTTCCAACATGGATCCGGGTAGAGGCACGTCAGCCAGCGACGGCGGATGGAGGTGAGGTGATATGAACTGGACGTGAGTGGTGGTAGGATGTGTGATCTGGTGTGGTTGCGAGGTTGTGAGAGTGGGGATTGGTATTGGATGGTGGCCTGTCGTAGGCTCACACGCGCCCATCGTCTCGTCCCCCGCGCCCCACCACCGCTCCGCCCGGCGCTTGGGCCACGACGAGGCTCCAGAAACCGGCCCGGAATGTTGAAGCATCCGTTCCGACCCTCACTTCCGTTCCGTTTGTGCCCTCTGCTTCTCCTATTCGTCGCTTGCTGCTGCTTTTCATCCTGTTCACTTCACTACTACTTCTTCACCTAAAACCTTGCTTTTCGCACCCTAAAATCACTCCCTAACGCCTCCAACGTGACCCCGCTGTGACTTTCGGCTCCGACTTTAACAGATTAAGAGTCAAGAGCGCTACCAAGGCAACGGCCAGACTTGTATGACACCAGATCCCACTCCTCAAGAAAGACGACTAGAAAACCGTTCC